TTCTATGGCCGCTGTTACACTAAAGGAACGATCACCTGATCTGCTATGAACTAAGGGGCATGAAAGGCGAAAAGGGTCTGATTCAGAGCGAAGATTTTGTCGTAATGTATGATGAACTTTTAAACAACTACTGAGGTATATTGGTGCTTGATCATTGAAAAATTTAAGCACAAATAAAAGAATTTTAAATAAAATGCGTTCTTTGATGGGTAGCCAGTGAAGAGAATTAATCAGTTGTCTGGCATCACTACGTCTGTCTTCACGATATATGAGACGTGCATACCAATTCTGAAGACTTTGTAGTTTCCTAATGTGTGCCTGGGTAACCCCTGTAAGGAGACCATTACAATAATCTAGTCTAGAGAGTACATGACGTCTCACTGCATGGTTACATGCGTCTTTAGTAATGTACTTTCTAATCCGTGATACATTTTTCAATTGAAATCGTACAGATTTACAAATATTTTCAATGTGATTTGACATTGACATATTACAATCAAGATAAACACCAAGATTTTTTATAGATGTGGACGGTAATATTTTCGTGTCTTCCAGGGGGATTCGCCCCCTGGACCGCCACCGGGGGCCCTAGGCGGCCCCTGGCCCCCAGACAAGTGAGACTCGATTCGCTCCACTAGACCCCCGTCGGGGCCTTTAGCCCCTCCGTCGGGCAGGTCCTGGCGCCACCACTGTTATCAGTCCCATTGTGAGTGTACTATCATTATCGGTCTCATAGGAAAGTTTTGCTACTATAATAACTGTCGCCTGCCTCCCAGCTCTGATGCGTGTAGACGCGAAGCCAGCCTCTCGAGAACGAGTGTCACATTACATTGAGTTTGTGTACGTGTCGTTAAGATATCGTTTCTTGCGTTTTGATTCTGCTAATTTTGCTCTTTAACGTTTATACGTTTGAGCCATGTTGCAAAACAGAGTGGGGGATGAGGAAGTGGGTGTGGGGGGGGGGGCGTTCGACAATACTCCCGCACATCAGGTGTGATTATTACCCTATTTCGATATCCAATTTCAAACTTGGTTGACAACAGACAATAAGAAAATACAGTATCAACCTAAAGAAGGCAAATAATTACATTTCACGAGCGTTTTCAGCATTCTGGTATCGCAAGACGAGCACATTGTGTTCAGCAAACAACCAATTTCCCACACATGACACTTAAAACATTTAGGCTACAACGCAAGGAAATTCTATCAAGCTTTATTTACTAATATCCCACGGAGGCATAGACACAGTACGGTACACTTGGCTCACCAGAAGGCGTATTGAAATACCACCCATTGTTTTTTTCCTAAATATTGGGCGACCCAACAAAATATATTGGCGATCATATTTTGGTCACGACCTGTAAGTTTGAATACCAGGGTATACAATTATTACTCTCAACTTGTGTTTGTCTTCGTTTGTTCATACTCCAAAATGACTCTAAATGATTTCCACAGCCGAGAGAGCCTTATTTCTTCGTCTGGGCTTGTATTTATATTAGAAATATGTATCATGTTTTGAAAGGGTGGGCTTGGTTTTAATTTTGTAGGGGTAAGCGGATATAACGACAATGTATTTTAAAAAGAAGGGGAGAGGGGTCATGTACGGTAGCTGGCTGGTGGTCAGGAATTTAAAAAAAATCTAAGATACTTTAAACTGATAACAATTCTTCGTCCATCTTCAAATCAGCTAATGGTTCCCCTATTAATTCGCCTCAATGTCGAAGGCGGTGATGCTATGAACGTATAAACAAGACGCGTTGTTGTTTCGAATTTGCCAAATCTGTTTGATTGGTGATAGCAGCCACTGAAGAACGACATATAGACATCGTTAATGTTTGCATTCGTATCTGCGAATTAAAATGACAATTCGCATCGTCTAAAGTACATGTCTAATTGTTTAATCAAAATAATATATATTAATAATTCAAATTAACAAATCTCGGTCTGACAGAGATTCGTAACAATTAACGGCGCTTTGAAAGTGTTGTTAATCAGAGATCGAAGCAGTGAAAACAGAACATTGCAGTAATTTCACAAATCACCTTCTCTTAAAAAGTACAATGGTATCGCATGGTATTGTTTTTCTTAATCGCAAAGCTTTACAGCATAAAAGTCTATATACATCATTAACAACACCAAATCAGAATAGTACTCATACTTAAGTTCTGATGCAGTGACAAGTGTTCATTGAATTTTACAGGCGAACCATGAACAATACGAAGTTTGAGTCGTATATCAATGGCCTACCAAGTATTTTCACTTTAAGACGTCAGAATGTGCATGTGCGTATTGCTATGACGTATGTTGTTGGCTGAGAAAGTGTAGACATGTTAGCCCTACCCGACCAGGAAAAAAGGATTTAATTTCATAAACAAAGTCAAAACGTAATATTATGTTAGGTACTTCCAAATATTTATCGAATAGAAGCTTTATCTTTTTATACGGAAAGGAACATTAGTATACGTGCCTATAATATGAATTGTAAACTTTCGAATACTTTAATATTTATAGTCGGAAATGGTTAGGCCAAATCTAGACATATTTCTTATCGATATTTTCTGTCTTACTTTTGTTATGTCAAGCATTGTATCTTTGTAAAAAACACAAAAAAAAAACAAAAAAAAAACAAACAAATATCGCTGACATTGTTCGCTATAACTTGTTAGGGTGTCTTGTCAAATTTTTTGGAACATTCTGTTCATCCGTATAAGAAATTAACTTTATTGTACATTATACAGTACGGTACACTTTATAAATGCGACTTGCTCGGAATATTTCATTTTTTTTTCTTCGGAATTGGTTAGGCCTACAATATATTTCTTTTATTTATTTATATGTTTTACTTTTATTACTTGCTTTGTCTTTTTTAACAGAACCTCGCGGACAGTGATTTGCAAACTTTTGTTTTGTGTTTTTAAATTTGTATTGTTTTGTTTTGTTTACATTTTAATGTGTTGAGACAATAATACATTTAAAATGAAATGAAAATATTCCGAGTAATTCACATTGTACGGGTACTGTATAGCATGCAATAAAATGAAGGAAAGTGTGTCTTGTGTAATAAATTCAGTTTACAAAAACACCCGCCCATGGTTACAGGTTTTATGTTAAAGAGTGAACATTAGGCAATGCCAGAAACTGGGCATGTTGCACGCTTCGGGTCACTTAGCATACCTCCTCGGGCAACGGCTATTCTATTCATGCAAATGTCCGTTAGCAATGTCATAAGAGCTGCTAAATGATCTTAACTTACATCAACAAATTAAACACTACTCTGTTAAGCCTTCTTTGTTACTTATTGCTCGATATCCGCTTGCATCGGGCAACCTAAAAGTCATTGTCTTCTTGTGGCTTAATAG